GCATCTATGAGAAAAACTGTCACATTATTAGGTGTATCGAGAGCGACAGTTATGCCGGCATAGACAAATCGTTGGAAGACAACATCGGCGAAGGGGAACAGTGGGCGAAAATCAACATTCACAGAAAGAGATCGTCTTACATTGAGAAGGAATATTTTGAAAAATCACAGTACTGCAGCATACGTGACAGCAGAACTGAATATTAATCTTGAAGACCCTGTTTCCACAAAAATTGTCCGATGCGACTTTCACAGATCCACAACATCCACGGTAGAGCTGCAACTGCTAAAACTCTGATTACTGAAATGCTCAGATGCGTAAATGATGGTGTCTCGACCATAAAGCCCGGACATCAGACAACTGGAAACGCGCGCGATATGGTCAGATGAGTCGTCCTTCACACTGTTCCCTCCATCCATCAGGAAGTGTTTACGTTTGGAGAACACCCAAATAAGCCTACAATCCGGAATGTCTAGTTTCGACAGTGAAACACGGGTGAAGTTCTGCGATTCTTTGGGCAGCAATGTCGTGGCAGAGTATTCTGTCCGTCCCATTATTATCCTTCATGGCCGAATTACTGCAAGGGAGTACGTGGGCAGGTTGAGTAATCAGGTGCATCCCACGATTTTCGAACCGTGCAGTTTTTCAAGACGACAATGCCCCCACTGACACAGCTGAAACTGTTCAGTCATGGTTTGAAGAGCATGAAGGTGAACTTCAAAATTTTCCCTGTCCAGCACAATCGCCAGATTTGAACATCATTGAACCATTTAGATCAGTTTTGGAGACTACAGTGAGGAACAGATTCCCATCTCCAACATCTCTAAAGCAGCTTGAAGATGTTCTTCAAGGAGAATGGTACACAATTCCGCTAGAATTTTTAAAACGTGCATGAGTCCATTCCAAGGACTGCAGCTGTACTGAAGGTAAAAGGGTTTCCATTATTTTGTTCAACCCTTGTACTCATATGTAGAACAAGGGAGGGCTATTATTTTACTCTGAAGCTGGACGGGACTATTTCATGTGACCGCGGGCAGGAGGGCATCGAGCAAAGATTGTGTTATTAAAAATTTTTATGTGATGTGCAGAATCGACTTCGCCACATAAACAGACATACAGACTTCCATCAGGATTTCCTTTCAAAGCAGTGCTCGTAAATTGCACAGCAATGGAAACGATGTTACTGCCTAAATAAGCATAAGCTAATTGTCACCTGTAGGGGTTGTGCGTGACTTATAAGAGGCTTCTTATTCACACAACTCGGGACTACAGGCAATACAGCACTATCACTGATCTATACACTTTACAGTTCATCGTTGCACACACATTAAGGTCCTCAATCTTCACTAGTCGTATTCTGGCAACGGATCTATAACAGTATGTCACTTCAAATCAACATGAAGTCTTCTCTGCACTGCCTAATTCCTTTCTTGCCATTATTCTGCATCTGCCAATTTCGAAGACTCAATTCAATTCTTCTGATCCCAAGCTCACATCCTCTCAAGCTGGCGTCTCGAAACTTGACTCAATTCTTCTCAACTGAACTCTTCTTTTAAACCACTTTGCACGGGCCACGCAGAAAACACAGCCTCTCTATTTTCGGGAAGGCGTGTTTACAGCGCCGTTGCATAGCAACGGAAGTTACTCGATTGTAGCTTGAGTATTCGTTGCCGCGGGAATGTGTTTACCGAGTCGTTGCCTAGCAATTAGCGTCTATTCTGACGTCATTATTCCGGCTTTCGGGCATCATGACATAATCATCGTTCAATATAATAAACTTCTCTTCAGTCAAATCATTTAATTCTGAATTGTATTCATGCTTTTATAGTTTCAGTTTCATAATTACAGTACTGTATTAATAATTTACTTTTTCTTGATTAGCTGCTTTCGTAGTCTTTAAAAGCATGTAAACACTTCCGCAAGACAGACTGAATTTTTCGTTGCAAGCAGGCTAGTCTTCATGTAGGTTAAGAGATGATGATTGCGAGGATCACAGTTTGACACAGTTAATGTACTGAAACGAAAGACTAAAGGTAACAAAAATACGAAGACCGTCCTCAGTTTCGACCACCTGTGGTTGGATCACGAATTCCGAAGCAGTGCCACGGGCGGAATAATCTGATTAAATGCCAGTCATACCCTTCCGAACAAACCTCTGGGATGACGATTATACATGGTGAAGCCGAAGGAAAAGAGGTCGATGTTCAGGGCAGTGTCTCGGTTTCATACCCAGATGAAAACCAGATGCTTCACAGCGGAAATAATTTGCTCCGCCGCATCCCGAAAAATGTCCAAGCGACGGAAATTCTGCATGCCACCTACTTGTATTACAAACAAGAACTGCTTTGTGACTTGCTTATCTGTGATGAAACAGAGGACTGCAAATGCAGAAATTTCATTATTCACAGACAAATGATTCCGGAAAAACAAACTGCTACTGACAGTGCGTAGCAGTTTCTCAACAACAGAACTCAGCATTACATAAAGTAAACTTCATTACAATAAATCATTAACATAGATTTCTATTGCTGATGTTCTTCTGGAGATTTTATCAGGCTTTTCGAACTCGCTCAGTTCCAGAAATCACTATCTTGCCATATTCAAACCTCATGCCGAGGGAAAAATCGTGGTACAACCAACAAATTGCGAGATTATTACAATGAGCGGGATGACAGGTAGCGAAGAAAAGACTATCATCACGTGTTAGAATGACTATAGACGGGGCTACACTTTACATATTACTGTCACACACAGACTGGTGCCCTTAGTCTATTACAGCCTCCACTAGCCGTTGCCTGGTAATGGATTCAACGGCGGATGTTCCCCTTACTCTGGGTTTCCGAACTATTCCCGTGCCTCAGCTACCAGCTTCCAACAGCAACGACTCACAACGACTGAACTGCAGTTCTCTAACTCCGTGGCTGGCGGTCATCTCATACAAACCTCCTAATCTTCGCTTCACAGACTAACTCAACTGAGTTCGTTGCTCCCGGTTATAACATCTCATTACCGACTGCACAGAAAACGCCGTTCCTTTGTTGCTTATTAAGAATCTGCTACCTAGCAACGAGTGTTGTTTCGCTGTTCGCTTCGTGGTCATTGCCTAGTAACGGGTCTACATGCTACAACATAAAAAACATCCAATCTCTAAATGGGACTTGAACCCATCATACCAACTTTCCCTCGGCCTAATAGCGCAAGATTCTTAAAATAAGAAATCACTGGTATCAGAATACAGAACCTTACAATAATGTTATGCTGATATTTGTTAAAAAGCCCTACTGGACGCTAGTCAGTAGGTTGGTCTAAAAGTGCATGCAGAGATAACAAGTATGGCCCACGTTCCTGTCTCATCTCCTGAATGCAGAACACTAGACCCTGTCAGAGAACAAAAGATAGCTAATACAGCCTCCAAAAATTCAGCGAAGTTAAACATTCTGCATGATAGCGTACATACAAATTATACAAAGGGCAGACATACATTCATTGCTACACATGTGGAAGAAAAATGCGTAAGACAGGCACAAAGAATGAAATAAAATTTTGGTATACTAAGAAACAAAATCTTAATAAAACGTTATATAACTTACATATCTAAAATGGGAAGTAAACTAATTTAAACTTCAATCCTTAAAATCAAAGTATAATATGGGGTAATTAATTTTCAGAATAAAACTATATTAATCCAGACCATGTATTTAAATTTAATTTTTATGCTTAACTTAAAGAACTGTGTACTCGTATTTGTTAGATTATACTTTAACAAATATGTGTATTTGCTAAACGAATGGTAAAATATTGTAATAATATGGATCCATATTAAGAAAACAAATCGGAGACTAAGATCACTTTTCTACAGATTGGCCTGATGATGACCTTGTGTGGGTCAAAACATGTAGCGACTCCTTTGCAAAATAAACAAATGCTAGTATGTTAGTATCATTTTGTTCTAACTGTTGTGTCGATGATCCAAAAAAACGTTGTCCTCTCTTTTCATCTGAATTTGAGAGCACCCTGAACAGTATTTGTAAAATTTCAAATTATAAGTGGCCTTTAATTTACTAATACATTATTATTTTTTGAAACACTGTAGGTTATACATCTATGAACAAATTAATCATTTAATGATAAATGCAACGAAACTTATGAAATAGACCTTCTATTACTCAGATACCTGCCTCTGTAGATCATGATCTTTCAGACCCATCAACTATGAATACATTTACATATTCAACTGTGTAACCAGATGCATACAACAGCAATGCATCCTATGATTTTATGCATGACAAACCAGACATAACCTGAGCATCAACAGCCATTAGGTCCCTCTGCCCCCCCCCTTTTTTTTTGTATTTTAATACCATCATCGAAAGAGATATAGTTCAATTTGGAGGGTTTCAGTAAATTTGTTTCAAATGTGCAGCTGGTATATATCTTTCAACAATAATGCCAACGTAGGTGGTTGAAACTATCATGTTTTATCATGAACAATTAAAATCTGATGTTTTATTAGTGTGGGAATGTCCAAACCAATTTTGTATCCCACTTTCGTAACATCTTAACTGCATAAAACATGATGTGAATGACTGAACTGTAGGATGACTGAGTACATTTCCCTGTCTGTGTTCTGTTATACTAAAGTTCTCTAAGAGAAGTGAATATTTCGCCTTAGTGATTAGCACTTCTGCTTCATATTCAGAAAGGCCTGCTATTTTCAATGAGATTTTTCATTCTATTCAGTCCTTATAGGCAAATGCAGGTTTAGTAACTTGAAATATACCATGACCTCTTCCTTTTACAACCTTCATTCATTATCACTTTACTGACTCTATGTAAACTGTGCAACTTAAACTTTTCTGTACCTCTACACTTCAGTAACAGTGCAAGTCTAGTCTTGAAACCTGCTTCTCATTTCCTCCCAAGATTTTAAACCTCAAATAGTTATAATGCTTGTATTTAATACAAGAGTTACAAGTTGCTGTATCATTTACTGGTTTCAGCATCAGCTGTAACAGCACTCAGATGTTATCGGTGCTTTATCCACCCACAATCACCCAAAAGTAATGAGACTACTCAATTATGCTCGCATTTTGATGGCTCATCTCTCTACGAAACCGACTGCAAGTACTCGACTTTCTGCATGAAGAGGACATTTGAACTGCCTCTGCAGAAAGGAAGTAAGTGTACAAACTTTGGAAGATAAAATACATTTATCCAAGCCCTCATCATACAGGTAAGTATATATGTTGGCAAAATAAACTGTCATCATGGTGGATGGTCGGATATATGAAATGAGCAGCTGTACAATTTTGGCCGAGAATAGTAATGGATCAAGTGTAACGTGTATTGGCTGTTCCAAACTTCAGTTAGAACTAAAAATGACTCAAATGGAATTAAAATCTGCCAAAAAAATAATGGAGTTATTTCACAAAAGAGGTCAAACAAATGGAGGATATTGTTCTAGCACGATGTTCTCAAAACGCGATAAATAAGTGTAATCAAGAGGTTTATAAGATCTCCCAATGTTCTAAATGCGTTGATAGTAAAGTGAATCATCAAAAAGCTCTTGTAGAGAGAAGATCGTTGCAATTAATAAACGAATTACTATATAACAAACTGGGAGGTGACACAAAATCTGAGGTTATGTATGGTTGATGCAGAAAATATGGCTGTGAAGGGGAACGAATATTTAAACAACGGGCAGCGTATGGAAAATATAAGAGAAAGTAACTTTGTAAATGAAGAGACATTACATGTGACTAAAGATGTTAGATTAAAAAAAAGAAGGGAAAAGTATTTAAAAAATGTTCGTCAACTATAATAAATTTTTTATACACTAAAAATGTATTATAGTTGAACATTTTTTAAATATGTTTTAATTGATTTTACAATGATATATAACGGCAAGCAATGCAATAGATTAGCGTAAATGGAGCACCTGATGATGGCACTATGTTGCCGAAACATGTGAAATAACAGGCGAAATTGAGTGCACTACAAGACGGACACTGCATACATATCATGGATGAAAATCAGTGCAACAGGACACTAAAATACAACATTATCATTCATATACATATAAAGGGTAAAGGCAGGATGATTATGAATGATGAACAGAGATGTCTGTGAGAGGCAGTCAGTTGTCCTACTGATATCATTTGGTTTGCCAACAGAGTGAGAAGAAACATGTAAACATCATTCTGGAAAGTTGTTTTCAATATAAAGATCTGAATAAAAAAGTCTTGTGTGTTAACTATTGTAATGTGACTTTCTCATATTGATTAAGTGTATCAAGCATCTCTTTTAGTGGGATTTTTTTTAAGTTATACAAATCCTGACAGTGGCCATTTTGTGCCTGCACTTATTTAATCAGTAGATGATCTGGGATAGAAGGGAATCATAATATTTTTATGGACAGTAACTAATAAAAAATTTCAGAATTCTGTAAGCCTATTCCAGAATCCTTTCTCCCATATAAGGGGAACTGAGCATGCAAATAAGGTATAGAATAAAATCACTGACAGTAATGCTCATCTTTAGTATCTTTTCCCATGGAATCCTTCTTGAGAAGCTAGTCAAGAAATTCTTTGTCTTATATGAAGCCCAAGGGTTCATTATGTGCCACTGGAGCCTATTAACAAACAGACAAATCCAGTCCACATTCTCACAACCCACTGTATCCCATTAAGACAAACTTTAACACTATCCTCCCAACTACAGCTTTTACCTTCAGGTTTTCGACTAAAATATTTTCAAGTATTTACTGCCTCACATTCACTTTACATTCCTCACCCATCTCATTCTCCTTGATCTGATCACTAGATCACTTATCACCAAGGTGGGGCACATACTCACATTGTGGACGGGTGAAATGAGCAACAAATATGTAGGGTACCTGTGAATATAATGAATAAGCAGTCACAGACAGCAAATGTGGGGCAATTCTCAATTTTATAAGTTCAATAGTAATCTAAAAACCATCTCATGATCTAAACTAACATGTTAAAAAATGTTATACAGGGCCTCTCAGACTTGGATAAATTCTTTGGAATGACTTTAGCAAAGGAAACTGGACGTGAGAGATGAAACTTGGAATGTCAGGATCTGTATAGGTCAGGTTCACTGAAAACACTACATGGCTAAGAAAAGTTTATATAGCCATCGGAAAAAGTGACCAAATATTCATAGAGACAGTTTATACATAGAACAGTGAAGGAAAGAAATATATTTCACTGATACTACTTTAGTAAGTGAATGGTAGATGGATTTAAATGACCAATACAGGGTCAAGCAAAAGATTCTTGCAATGCTGCTGATGGCCCTTACATGTCTTTAGCAGAGAATTCCATGAACATCTGACTACACAACGAAATACTATGTAGCATGACGTTAATATTTTCGATTCCTTTACAGAAGTTGTACGAGGAGTTCTTCGTGACTGTGCTCCACAGCAAAACAACTACCAGTCATATGATGGAACACAGTGGAAAATGAAGACTGTAATTGAAGAAACAATTTATGTTGAAGGGTGTCATCCTAGTGAACCACAGGGGGTCAAGACACCATCAACTGAGTACTGTTACTGCAGTGGAAATCTGTGCAATGGCGCCAAGCCTTCCCGAGAAACTTCCCACCACCACACAGATGCCATGGCTGTTATATTTGTCTTTAATGCTATGAAATATATACGCAGCCTAAGGTAGTTACAATATTCTATGTAAATTTGGTTAATGATGTGAAATTCAGGTCAAGCAAGAGGGAATACAAGTGCTACAAAACCTGCTCATAGCAGCCAAACAAACATGAGAGTGGTACAGTAAATTTTACAGTAAATTACTCAATATATATGTGTGTGTTGTATTCTGAGATAAGATAACCAAGAAAAGAAACACACATACTGACAAATATCACAGTGCTGGTATTGTTACTACCACTTTAAAATTTTCGTGTAAAGCATAACACAGTAGCTGCAAATTTGGGTGGTTATATCAGAATACACACAGTTAAGTACAGTTTATTTAAGGATTACTAACAAGTGAACTCTGATATTATAATTTGGTGAAATGTTAGATCAGAAATGGGGCCTCATATAAAGACAGGAATTTTTTCCACCTCTTTAAAAACAGACCACATAACTAATTGTTCTTTGAACAAAAGACAAAAAGTGAATAAGCAACAAAAATGTACTTCAACACAAAGTTGGACATACAAAAATTGTAAATCTGTTTCATATGATTTATTACAAGTGTCTTTAATTTAAACAAGGTTCCTGTAAACAATGCACATTCCCTTTCTGCTATTCTGAATTAGGAAATTCCAGCAAAAGCAGGTATAAATACTTGCTCCATATTTTTTTACATTCCTGCAAATTAAGTGCATTATGATCTATATTTACATATGGACCTATTTTTAAAATCGTGAATTTGTAGGGCATAAAAACTTCAGGTTATAGAAATATTATCAACTGATGAAGAAATTCAAAGACAGCCAACACATACAAGGTCTGACAATTAAATAAGACTGGTTCTGAATATAGTCACTGACCCTTAGTTACAGTTATTTTCCAAATATTTATTGTCTTACTTTACACACGTATTCTAGCACCTCAGCCATGCCTTGAAAAATCAGTGGAAACAATTTTCCATAAGAACTTTGAGTACTGTCTTCATACTGTTCTGATTTGTTAACTGGTGTGATGGTACTATAGTATTTACTTTTTAGTCAGAAATTGCTTCACTGAAAGTAGTGTGTTGAAAAGTACATTGAAATAATGTCAAATCCACCTACTTAACAAAAGATTTGATGTTTCTTTATGAATGTGTTACAACATACACTCAAAAATTTGAAAAGTATAATGTCTGGCTGACTGTTCTGGAGAACATCTGTAGTCATAATATGCTGACCCACTCAGACATTAGAACTGAAGGCTCCTCCCATTAAGTTGGGACACAGTCAATCAGCATACTAGTGGAACCAACAAAAAGCCTACAAATATTAAAAATAAAATTTCCAAATTACAGCAGATGCTGGAAATGCTTTCTGTTCTTACACTCAAATGCTTAAAGCCAACATAAGAAGTCTACATCAACACAAAAACTTCTTCCAAATCATAATGAACTTAAAATCTGAATCCCTGGTCTCCTGTGCAAGGTATCTGAGAGACTTTTGAAAAGAACATGGAAGCCTAGCATCACTTTCATCTGATTTCTCTTCAAAGAACACTCATTTTGGCTCTCCTCCAGTAATGGCACCATCTGTTTTATTTCTGACTGTTTGGATAGTTCTTCTATAATTACGACAGGAGGATATTCTCCTTACTTTTCTTAAAGAACCATTTTTTATTGTGTATACTGTACATGAATACTCATTATTCCATAGTGTATCTCATATATGGCACACAAGAAATACTGTAACATGAATGAATAAATGACTGCTTATCATAAAGGTACAGTTAAGTACATCAGCTGGAATTTCAAAGCAAAATGGCTCTTGTGATATGGGTTACCTGGCATATAACAAATGAGCTCACTTTAAGAAGAAAGTCGTCTTCTGGGTTTAGGCGCCGCGTATTCTTTGTTTTGGCCAAAACGAAGAATACACGGCGCCTAAACCCAGAAGACGACTTTCTTCATAGTCATCGCCGTGAAAACCTCAAAACTTACAGAGCTCACTTTATGTTAGCATGACAGATGTTCAGTGATCTTTTGGTCGAAGTGAAGAGATGCTGAATGAAATAAATGTTAGACTTGAACATTCTCTGACAGCCAGATGGCATTTCCATCTACTACTGTAATCTGTGTAAATTTTAACTGTAATGGGTTTAAGGTGTAGATCTGTGAGTTCTGCTTGCAGTCTGAATCTTTATGGTCCAGCTTGATGTGAACAGCATCCACCTGAGTAGGTCAACAATCTCCCTCCCTTATATTACAGGCTACCTAGAATTGTCTTGGGCTGCACAAATATTTCAAACGATACTTATGTAAGAAGAAAACTGGATCTTTATTATTACTATTGGTCATATACAGATATTTTAGTTATTTTTCATAAAATAATAATTTAAAATAAATTCATAATTAAATTAATCTTACATGCAAACTCATGAATCTCTAGATGTTTAGTCACAATGACTCACAGAAAGAATATGAATAATTTCCATGATATCAGCAAGGGCAAAAGACTGACCAGGATACACAAAGTTATTTGAATAATTTTGTTTGATGTATTTAAAATTGCTCTATGTTCCTTGTATAACTCTATTATCATCTGAAAGGACTTAATTTACTTCCAATAATGGGGTGATGATAAAGATGACAATTAAAGGGATCATATAGCTTGAGGTGGGCTTCACAATCATAGTGTGAGCCCAAGTTCTTAAGTTATGGTTTTGTCAAAAATAAGGACTGAGGAAGGAATGCAGAAAAATCTGCATGTAATCTGCTTAGTGTCAAATTTTCAGTTGTCTGTCTAAAATAGTTCTAATTGTAACAAAGCCTATGATTATTATATAATGAACAGGACAGGATTAATCATAAAAAGTTCAAAATATAATTTCTTTAACACTAAATCAGCATGTGTTGAGTGTCTTAAAGTTTTTGATTCTACAACATATAAAATGCACAGGAGTTGAGGTTCTCAGAGCAGTGACTATGATGTGAACGCTCTTCTGGGATGCAGTACTATGTGGTCCAGTAAAAGTTCACTGACATTTTGGGAGACATACACTCTCACCTACATGGTCAAAGATTAAGCCAAGCAACAAATCAGCATGAACCAGGAAGCAAGCAGGGCTTGCCTGGCTTATCCTTTGACCCTGAAGACAGAAGCAATCCAATAATATGAAAGGTCAGAGAACTTCTACTGCACCACATAGCATTACATATCAGAAGAAAGTGATCTTTGGTATATAAAATATATTTTATCAGCAATAACAAACAAAAGCAAAAATGTTATGCGCTGCCCGATTAATATTTAGAATGATGATAAAACTATATTTATGCAGTAATGTAGCAGGTTGAGGCACTATGCTACAAGCCAGAAGGTCATGGGATCAAATCCAGATGAGGTCATTGGATTTTTCAATTAACCTAATCCATCCAGCTACACGATGACCCTGCGGTCAGCTCAGCCTCTAACAGAAATGAGTACCAGTTTTCTTGGGGGGAAAAAGCGGCCAGTGTGTAAGGCTGACAACCTTACCACCATCTATGAGCTGACTCTCGAGAAGATGTGGGAGTCTCGACCTCTCACACCCCATGGGGCCTTGGCAGCCTGTTACAGGGACAGCTTTACTTTTTTTTTTTTTTTTGCAAAAAACTAAGTCGAGTTTAAAGAATATTATGTAATAGGTAAAGTTGTCTCTTTGCTTAATTAGTTAAGCACTATGCCATGAAGACATATGGGAGAGTGGAGGTACAGCTCCACTTTTCTTAGACTCTGGCACTAGATGGAGGTGAGTGGTCAGCTACACACTCCTGCTCCTCCTCCCCTCCCCCCACTGGGGGAAGGACCCAGTACTCATTGGATAGGAGGCTGGGTGGGCCCCAGAACCAGTCTGGATGCTGTGGAGAAGAGAACAAATTTTCACTGCCAGGAATCGAACCTGGGCTATCAGGTCATAGCCCATAGCTAAACCAACTGAGCTATCCCAGCTCCAAAAGAATATTATGTTTCATTCAATAGTCTGGCAGAGTCTTAAATTATAGTTTTATTTTTAAAAAATTTGTAATTTAGCTCTACACTTATGAATATAATTATGAGGTATTATAATATAAGAGTTACTTATGTTGTGTATTTAGAACATTTAAAAAGTACCAGTGTAATGATTAAAAATAAATGAAGACCCTGAACACCTTTCTCTCATCCTGAAGGGAAATGTGATTAATCAGATGAAGCAGTCTGTTTGAAGTAGAATTCTGTACTGCATCAAAATCAGGAATGCCTTTTCTTTGCTGACCTTGGAAAACTATTTACTGAATATTTATTTTGCTTCTTCTTGAAAACATTATTCTATGAGCTGTGATGGATGAAATAAATGTTATTTATATGAAAGCTGTATCTATAAGCTAGTCAATAGTCTGAAAATTAAATAAATATTTAACATACAATTGAAAATATGAACCTAACTTTAAATCAATGCTGATGAGGTTTTTTTTGTTACATGCATTTATTTTACAGTGTTTTGGGTCAAGGTTTCTATTAAAGCCACAGCCACTGTGTAAATCTGTTCCACTGCCAACTTTTCATATGGGAAAATGCAGGATAATTAAGTTGGGGAGACAGAAGAGGATTTGTGATATATAATATACAGGGATTATTTTTCCCTTGTCTGTGTCTTCCTCATATGTTTCATAACCAATACTTCCATTTGTAAAATAATACTATTTGGAACATTTACAATGATCTTAATTTGTAACCCACTTACTTCCTTAAAAGGAAAGAAGTAGGTCAACGAGGTTTCCATCTTGTTTGTGTTCCTATGTGTGTCCCCATTTCAACTTTAGAACCAGATGATCGCCACAAAAATCTGTATGAATGTCATCCTATTGGAGACAACCCCAACACCATACCTTTCAGTTTCCTATGATCAACCACAGACTTGCGAGTCAGGAGTAAAACTAGTGTAACTTGCTGCATTTTAGTCCTGAAGTGATGTATGTCACAGAATAGAGAAAATATACTACTTTCATAAAGCTAATATTTTTGCAGACTATAACATAACATGGTGGCCGAGCAAAAATTTCCTTTAGCTTTTGATATGATGGTGATAAGTAATGAACCACTGGAGCTAGGGATGTGAAATTTTGTACAGAGGTTATCATTAATATACCTGCACATTATGGATGAAATAAAAGTCAACAATTACAAATATGGCGACAATGCAAAACTTTATGGTTATGTCAGACAAACTGAACATGCACAGCATCTGTACTTAAGCAATAAATTGTTCACAAAAATAAAATATCCACACTACTACATGAGTTGGGACTATAAATCTACGAAAGAGGAAAGCAGAATTCTGCTCACAATTCCTTGTTTTACATAAGAATTGTCGATCAATGCCAAAGAACGAAGTTCTAGAGTAACTGACTCTGATTTACTGTAAAGGACATGAGCTTATGGGCTCATCTCCAAAACATTCCATGATTCCTCATAAATCGAACATTAACTCAGTTTCCTAAAAGGTTTACCTATTTTAAAATGAAACTATGTTATATAACCATACATTTATCACATGTGAACTTACTTACTTAATCCTATATATTTTAAGCCAGCCCATTTTAAAGAAAATGATAAAATCATAAAATTTCTCTGTGCTTTGTGATAGCTGTATCTTATAAAAAGAAAGGATATGACTCATTTAACTTGGCTGTATTGGTAATGTGAAACAGTAATGTAAAAGTCAATAAATATAGAAAATAAACAGCAAGGAAACCATAATTAGTGGAATAATGCTTCTCAGTCTTTTGGTAATTAGGAACCGGATAGCAATCTGGTTATGCCACTGAAGAATGCCATCTTCTGGAATGTGGCACCATGTAGATCTTGTGTGAACCTATGTATCACTTCCATCTCCAGGGAAGAAAAGTCCCCAAGCTGCAGCCACCTGCTCACGCTGGATCTTCGCTCACCAATTTTTCTACCCCCAAGATGAAGGCAACATGTTCTCTAAAATGTCGTTCACACAAGATCTACACTGCACCACATCCCAGAAGATGGAATTCTTCATAGTCATTGCTGTAATAACCTAAAGTCTTACATGGTTACATGGTTATGCCACTCAGAAAACAGAGTTCAAGTTTCAGCCCCTATCATTTCCATATTTCCAGCATAATTATCCACACATTCCTACTTTTAAAGAACCATTCCAAATTAACATTTATAATGAATGAACAATTATTTCATTGTCAGAAAGTCTGTAGGAATCTCATACACCTTAAGTGTCCACTGTAAAACAAGTCTTTGACTCAGGGGTGAGAAATACTGATATGGCTAATTCAATCTGATTATTGCTTAAATATTTTGTACATATGTATGGTAGGTAACCAGTGGTGCTTTGTACTGTATGAATATGCAGGGCAGGGACTGAAAAAATGTAACCTCCCATAACTCTATGAAAAGAGAGGAAAACCTGCATTCTTATTTAAATATTCATATATCAAGAGTTTGCTTTTTGTTACAAAACATCCCCCTTTTCTTTTGTAACTACAGGCACATTTCCTGGTGATATGAACATTTTAAAAAAAGGAGCCCCTTACTGACCTGTCACTGAATACCTCACTCCTATTAGCAGCAATGCAAAACTCTTGGGCAGGGGAGGGATTTAGGCCTTGATAGCTTCTCTGTGTCTTGTTAACACTTGTTCATTGATCTTATCGACAAATCAGCACTATAAAATGTGTGTGGCAGTACAACGTACGCAGCCACATAAGAAAGACACACCATAAGACACAGCATATACACAATTAAAACATAAGAAGAACGACTCCCACAGTGGATGATTGGCATTACACACGAGTTTGACATACGACATGTAAGATGATAGATCTTAACAAATTTTAATATATAAATTTTATTAATGAACAAAACGAACACACATTTTATATCATTTTATAAATGGATGCTTGATGGCAAGCAGTGCAATGGTCCAACGTGATTAATACACCTGAGGATGGCAGAATGATGCCAAAACATGTAGTGTGAAGTGATGAGTGAGATTGTATGCACTAAAAGACAGTTAATATATGCACATTATGAATACGAATCAGTGCAACAGGACGCTAAAATACAACATTAAAAATAAACTATCTGGAAGCAAGCAGCAACAACCACTGGCCATCCAAAGGAAAGCAACTGCATCACTGCGTCTGTTTCATTCAAAGAAAAAAATAGCGTACATCTTACCCAATCTGAAAAATGTAATGCTGGCCTGTGTACTACTGTATGCTTTAGGGATTACCACACTAAAGTGAATTTGCAAGGGCAGTACCATGGTGTGGGATAACCACAAGATTTGCATGGCAAACATGTGAATAAAACAGACACCTGATTTTTTAAATTTTTTACCTTACAGCAGGTTCAAAAAATCTCTGGCACATAACTACAATGGAAATAATTTTTTTGCAATGCTATCACCTACTTTTTTTTTCACTTTAAGGCACATTTTATTTAATATCTTTGTTACTGATAGTTCTGGAGAAATTTACATTTTTAGAAAATTGGACATAAGCTTAAATTAAAAGGTGTCATTTAATTTGGGCTGCGAGTTCCTATGGAAAGGATTTAAATCTGGTATGTTAAAGGTTAAGTATACCAACCTGACTGGTGGATGTCTCCGTAAATCAGTAAGTGTAGAATATGTTGAACTGTTAATGTCAAATTTCTGACCAATAACAAATAAAGTATGTGGAGCAAAGTAAACAGGTATCATTCAGGTAAAACCTACCCCCACACTGACTGATATTATAATGGTACCTTTCTCAGCTTTCTCTTTTAAAAGGAAAAGGTGAAGATAAATTTGTCACTGTGTTTAATTAAGTACCAACCTCTGAAGGGATATGAAGCAGCGCAGGTACAGCTCCAAATATTTTTAACATCAGCATTAGATGGAAGTGAGCGGTTAGTTTCATGTCCCAGCCACTATATAGACTGGGAAGGAACCACTAGCATCTACCAGATAAGAGGTTTGTTGGGCCCCAGAGCCAGTATGGACTTTGTGGAAAGGAGGTAAATCTCTTGCCCTGCTGGGGATTGAACCTCTGTTGTCCAGGTCTTAATCCAGTCACTATATGAGTAACCTACCTCGTAAAGCGAATATTTTCAATATTCTCCTCAGCACCCTATTCTCAAACATACTCCCTTAACTTCAGAGACCAAGTTTCACACCCATACAGAACCACAGAAAAATTAGTTTTGGATACTGTAATATTCACATTTTTAGACAGCACACAAGAAAACAAAAGGTTCTGTACTGAAATGGTAGCAAGAATTACCTGACTTCCATCTCCTCTTAATTTCCTCCTGAATCAAATTTTGAATTGTTATTGTTGTCCCCAAATATCTGAACTGTGCCACATTTTTGAATGATCTATTAGCTATATTTACTAATGTTATGATAGTACTCTGCATTCTGGTGATGAGACAGCAACATGCACTTAGTTTTCTCTGTGTTTACTTCTGCATCAGTTTCTGTTTTTTCTTATGTATCCATGTTATCTCTCAACTGATTTACATTATCAACACAGACCAAAAGCTGATGTGTCCCACTCAATTTCAGTCCCACCTTGTCTTCCTGAACCTTCCTAATGGCATATTCTAAAGCAAAGTTGAAAAGCAATGACAATAAAGCATCTCATTCTTTTACACCATTTTGGATAGGAAATATAACATACAAATGTTCACCAATACAGACTTCATTTCAACATATTGTGACATGTTGACCCCCACCTCCCCAGCTGCACATAGCGGTAACGTAGCGCTCGCGTAATAGGCGAGTAATCACCCCGCATCCTGGTAGCTATGCAACGCGGTGACGTCACGAGCGGAGCCGACGTTAGCCGAGTCCTCGCAACCTTGAAGCTATGCAAAGCGAATCAACAGCGGTGACATCACCAAGGGGTAACAGCGTCCTATGCTATACGCCACGTCACACTAGCAACAGCGTCCTAGGCTATACGCCATGTCACACTAGCAACAGCGTCCTATGCTATACGCCACGTCACACTAGCAACAGCGTCCTATGCTATACGCCACGTCACACTAGCAACAGCATCCTAGGCTATACGCCATGTCACACTAGCAACAGCGTCCTAGGCTATACGCCATGTCACACTAGCAACAGCGTCCTAGGCTATACGCCATGTCACACTAGCAACAGCGCACGGCTATATAAGCGGACTGCACAGCAGCTACGAGTGAGTTGAAACATAGCAGCCTGCGAGTGTGCGATAACTAAGAAGTCAGCGAGCGGAAGACTTATTGTGTGCTTTCCAGACATAGTGAGTGCTGTAGTACAGTTATACTCGGAGTGTGTATTTCAGGGAGACTTGTATAGCTCCCGCGTTATTAATACTTGAAGTCTCTTGAAGACAGTGTTAAGAGATTTTGTTGTAGGGTTTGTAAACTGTGAAAACCCGTAACATTGTTATAATTAACTGTAGCCGATAGTTGTAGATTGTTGAATAAACCAGTTAACAATCTCTACGGCCTATTCAGTAACGAAACATGTACCAATATTTTAATCATCCTGACTAGTTTCATGGGTACACCAAAGTCTATCACAATACTGTACAATACTTCCCTCCTAACTGAATCATAAGCTTTCTTGAAGTCTATGAATAGCTGATATACTGTACTCCCATTTTTTTCTAGTACCTGACAAATGCAAAAAACTATAATCAGTAGTAGATCTGTTAGTCAAAACCCACACTGATGATCCCCAATAATTTCACCTATATATGGACTTAACCTTGAGAGGATATTACACACAAGATGCATGAAACTTAAAATACTTTCAGTCTACATAATAAAATGAAGGCAACCAACAAAACCAGACACATTACTTAGCGAAGCACTTCTTATATATAAGCCAGAAAAATGGAATGAGTCATTAATACTCACATCACCACTATTCTCCACCAGGTAAAGGAACACAACATCTTCTCTCTGCAGTCTCACAGCTGCATGCAGGGGGAATCCTGTTTTTGACTTGAACATCCGAAACAGTAGAGGTGCACTCATATGCGCAAAGTCTTCACTTGTGAAGTCATCCTATGAAAGACAAAAGCTCTTATTCTGGATTTCTGGTAAATGGTCTATCCCAGTGATTTTCAAACTCTTCTGATTAATGGAAACAATAAAATGACAGTGAATATTCTGAAGACTGGTACCCTGTCTCACAGAGCACAACATAAATAAAGTCTAATTATTATGAGCACAACTGGCCTCTGGCTTCTAGGAATGAGAATGGAAGGTACTGTCACATATTAGGGGTTTCTGTGACTTATAAAACAAGTTTTGGATTTGGTGATCAAATTTATTAGACCTTTATACAACTTGTTACAACATTTCACAAATCACTATTTTCGACTGGACACTCTCAACTTCTGACCACACTACACTAATCCACTCCTCCTGGAGCAAAAGTCAAAGTTACTTTGAACTGACAATAGGTCAGTCAGTAAGTCTTGGTGTTGAGCCCCAGTTACTGTTTGACAGTTACGGTCTTGTTTTTGTGGGGTGCTCTCTCTGATGAGAAGATGGGTCTGTCTTTTGTATATGCTAATGGTCCAGTTAGAGAGTCAGAGTTACATTGTGACTGACAGTCAGTCAGTCAGTCAGTAAGTCTTGGTGTTGAGCCCCAAAATATTAATTATTATCATTTGACAGTTACGGGCTTGTTTCTGTGGGGCACCTTCTCTGACAAGAGGACGGGTCTGTCTTTTGTATATGCTGCTGGCTCTTGCCAGCGCAGTTTTTTCTCGGGTCTGAGTCCCTTGGGACTCGCGACCATATTTTACTGTCTCGGAATTGAGACTTGAGAGAGAAAGAGAGAGGCACACACACTTACGGATCATCTTCAGAGGGAACATCAATACTTATTTGGAAACCACCAGCCGATGGTCCTTGCCATCACTCACTATTATATAGTCTCAGGTCTGACCTCACAGAAAACATGTCCATTGCCTAGCTATGGATGTCCTCTGTTGCTGTATATTTGTTGCAATGTGTTTACCTCGCAACGGGCTGTTAACCAAGAATCTATCTCCACGGAAAGTTGTTTATGGAGCTGTTGCTTAGCAGTGGGTCTATATGTCATAATATTAAAGGAAAAGGTATCTAATGATCAGGAATGGATTAAACTTGCTCAAGAGAGAGACTTCAGTGAAAATGGTTATAAACCTTCAGATTCCGTAAGTGGGTTAACTCCTTGATAAACTATAAAACTACTCACTCACAATAAACATCATATCCCATAGATTCTAAAGGATTCTGATGATAGTGTATGACACACAGAATTACTGGATTTTTGGACTTTTTCCATTATCCAGAATTCTAGGTAACAGAGGACACTCTAGGTAATAGAGGACATGACATTTCAGAAACAGATCCAGTTTCTGAAACGTCGTATCCTCTATAACCTAGAATTATAGACGATGGAAAAAGTCCAAAAACCCAGTAATTCTGTGACTCTATCCCATGTTCAGCAGCTATGAACTTCTGTCATGGCTTCCAGTTTAAATGACTTGTCACAACACTCAGATGGATCCAACTCACCCAGTGTGCTGAGATAAGTCCAGAACAATGTTCTTTCAGTGTTTCAGCACCAATCTCATCAGCTGTTGTGTAGAATCTCACACAGTTTCGGACATTGACGGATGCCATTAGAGCCTTTTCACACCTACAATATGAAGCAAAACAGTCTAACAATGTTGACTACTGAAGATTACACAGTTGTATACATGAACTTCATTCTCAAATTATGTATGGTCGCCCAGATTGTAAATGGAAGTAACTGAATTCAATTGTTATTTTTATGTGCTAACTTAAAAGCTAAGGCCCAGTTACAAAGTGAGCACAAGTAAAGAAAAGAAACAAAACACATACAAATAAAATAACAATTAAAAACAAACTGAAGAACAACAATAATTCCATTAATAAAAATCGAAGTTATCACTAAGAAATGAGAAACGTAAAATATATACATTTACAATTATTGTTTTAATGACTGAAATACCAATGGCTAGTATAAAATACGACCCCAATAAATAATTCAAGCTAAAAAAAATCCAACTCTCTATTTGCTTACATGCTTACACAACAACCCAGGTTATTAAATAAGCACAAGCAGAGATGGAATGAATCAAACACAAACACATAAATAAAGACAAACCAAGGCAGCTTGGACAATAACAACAATTCAATAAGGTGACTGCAACAGTCATAGTGGGTCTGGAACGGGGTCCACTCAGCCTCATGAGGATAACTGAGGAGCCATTTCAAGGAAATAGCGGCTCTGGTCTAGAAAACCGAAATTAATGGCTGTGGGGATTCAGTGTGCTGACCACGTGACATCCTCTATCTGCTAAAGTTGGCACTAACTTCACTGAAAAGCAGCGGTCACTCAGTCGGTATAGTTTGCTTGTGAACTAATACCACGGAGTTTGTTTTTATTTTTTGACTGCATCAGTTATTATGTGGTAAGAAAAAGATGAATATACATACATTCATATTGGGTACACCTAATCTATATAAATAAAAATGTAAATGTTGGTTTGTTAGCCCTCGAAGATCTCCGAAAGTTCTTCACTGATTGCTTTGAAATTTTGACACAACATTGCATTTGAACACGCGTGTTTTTATATACCCATTATATAGATGTCACACCTGTGACAGGTAAAACATGCGTCTTTTGAAAACCGGAATTGGAATTTGGAATTCAGAAGAGTGACTCCTATGGAAACACTAGAACAGACCGTTGCATAGGAAGTAACAATAGCGATACTGTATCGAATCTCCATGGTTACGACGAATACACAGAGCGTTCCCACAGAGACAACACAATAACAATGGGTCGTTGCGTAGGAATCGCGGAATCAACATAGCAGCACATGGCTGAAGATATTTTCCTTCGAATGCGCAAGGATAATTCCAATATGAACATGGATTTCACAGCAGAAGTCTACAAGGCATTGATAATGATTGAGGATTTGTGCTTAGAAATCGTGAACATAGTTCTCAATCAACTGGGAATGCCATCACCGAATCGATCTGCTGCTGCTTCGTTCAATGTAGAATTGCATCGTGAACAAAATTACGACATGGGTGATCTTTTGTCATATGTGCAATCAAATATTCCTAAGCTAATGTTTGAGCAAAAAGGCATATATGATCAAATCATGCAAACTGTCAATAACGGGGTTGCAGAAATCTTCTTCTTAGATGCGTCAGGAGGAACTGGTAAAACGTTCCTAATTAGATTGATTCTGGCAACAATTTGATCCCAAAATGACATAGCCTTAGCTCTTGCGTCGTCCGGAATAGCTGCGACATTGCTACCAGGTGGAAGAACTGCTCATTCCGCTTTGAAATTGCCACTGAACATGCAATTCATTGAAAATCCCACGAGCAACATTTCCAAAGGATCAGGCATGGGAAAGGTATTGCAGAAATGCAAACTTATTGTTTGGGATGAATGCACAATGGCGCACAAAAAATCGCTTGAGGCTCTTGATCGATCATTGCAAGATTTGCGTGGAAACATCAGACCATTTGGGAATGCATTAATATTGCTTGCAGGGGATGTTAGGCAAACATTACCTGTAATTCCTTGATCGACACCAGCGGACGAAATAAATGCTTGCCTGAAATGCTCTACTTTGTGGAGACACGTAAAGACATTAAAATTAACTACAAATATGCGTGTCCAGCTGCAAAACGATCCATCAGCTGAGATATTCTCACATCAATTGCTGGAAATTGCGAACGGAAAGATCCCGGTTGATCTGACCTCAGGACGAATTTCATTGCCTCATAACTTCTGCAATTTAGTGACATCAAAGGAAGAATTGGTTGAAAAAGTATTTCCCAATGTTGAAACCAATTATAAGAATCATGATCGGCTGAGTGAACGAGCTATTCTTGCGGCCAAGAGCAATGATGTCTACGAACTTAACAATATCATTCAGTCTAACATTCAATGCGAGGCAGTCACATACAACTCCGTCGACACTGCTGTTGAAGCAGATGAAGCGGTTAATTATCCAACAGAATTTTTTAATTCACTCGATCTGCCACAACAACGCGTGGCCGGGTACAGCTAGTATTATAATATGAAGAAAGGACTATTATAAACTATGATTAAGAAGAAACGTTTTGGCTCTAAAAACGTCAACATCCTGGCAAACATTAGCAGCTGAAACACATCTAACAGAGGGACAATTTTTATTTTGAAAGCAGACACTGAACAATCCAAGGTCTTTAATACACCAGGAGGGAACTTGAAGACAAACAGTTTCCAAACAGAAGGGCAGAATTTAGAGCCAAGGTAAAGTTGAATAAGGAACAATGAATTGATGTGACAGTAATAGCAATATACATAACAATAACAACTACTCAACTCCTTCAGTATAAAAAATAACCTGCATTTAATCAACGATGTCAATGAAATTGAATGTAACTCCAATATATGACTGTGCTCAATTGGTACTGAAAGCATGTATACCAATATTCCCATGCAACAACTCCATTGACATAATATCTAATATCTGATCACCAATAAACGATACACAAAAAAAAATTACTTCCAACTTAACAATGAACAATACATGAAAACTGAGGGACTAGCATTGGAAGGCTGCATATCAGTGATACTATCTGAAATACATCTACAGTACATGGAACATGTACATTTACCATATTTTGAAAACAAACACAATGTCATAGGCTACTTTAGGTATACTGGTGATATTCTGAACATTCATAATATCAGCTCACGAACATCAACAATACCCTAACAGAATTCAATAATCTACATTGTCACAATTTTTTTCTTACCTTAGAAAGAGAAATCAATAACAAAATAAATTTTGTATACATAAAAATTACCAACTAATCACATGGATTAGACAGCAATGTACACCACAAACCAACTTACAAAAACACGGTTATTGCCAATGATTCTCGCCATTCCAATGACCATAAAACTCAGCAATGCATTTTCCAATAAATAAAATGAATAGATATCCCATGTCCAGCGAAAATGAACAATATGATATATATAGCATGGAAGTAAGGGCAGCTAGCACAGATGCACATATATAGCATAAACCCACCAAAATACTTTAAATGTATCCATAAAATACATCCACTAGCAAATATAATTTTTAAATGATAGAATAACATAAAGATAAAATTTTCAATCATAAAAGAATAAGAACCACCAAAGTTTTACCATACTGAAATTGTAAAGTGGCCATTTTGGCTAATAAGTTTTAATTCTGATGTAACTCACAGAGCTAATTATTGGGAACTGTTTTTAAAAAATTTGAGTTATAAGATACAGGACACAACATGATGATTAAATTCATGCCTAATATATCTCTCACAATGGGGAAAGAAACTTTTAACTTATGAGTGGCAGACAGAAAGTAAGAGATGATATGTAAGTGCGTTCATCTGAAGAAGGCATCAATGTATGCCAAAACATAATTTCTAACACAAAAGAAGTGTAACTCGGTGACTCTAGATGGTTAAGAACATAATAGCCATGTCTTTGTCTGGTAAATGAGAACTAAGAAAGTAACTGGAACTCAAATATGAACAAAGACATAATTTCACTTTAACTCCTCCAGTACAGTTCTGTCATCACAAAACAGAAAGGCTGCTACAAGATCACTATGTTAATTAATATCGGGGGGAGGGGGGAAAGGTGGTGATGACAGGAAATTTCTCTTGTAAGACCAAGAAATGTTCTCTTGCCTTTATCTTCAATTTTCCAAATCCACAAATACTTATTATAGTATAAACATTTAAAATCATGAATATTTTTCCATACTTGGCAACAAGATCTTCTAGCTTGTATACATTTGCAGTTCTCATGAGGTCAAGAGTGAAACTGTCACCATGGGAGAAATCCACCTGATCTGTATAGACCCACTTGAGCATTGCAGTTCCAACTTCTGGAACAAGATCACTCCAATCTGAAAATTAAAACACGCTCACTTCATGAAAATTAAAACATGCTCACTTCATAATAATACTGGCAGTAACATGCTTAATAACAAGTTGTACATGTAACATCTTCAGTTCTCTGCTACACTAAATTCCTACATATTCTCAAGGTAGAATATCAGATTTTTACAATACTGTACACTCAAGTCATGTACTTCCTATATTATTTTAAAGTAGCCCTATATATATAAAAGGGTAAAAGGTAAATTTGCCTCTGTAAAGTAAAAGTAAAAAGCAAAGCAATCCTTGTAACAGGCCATGAGGGCCCATAGGGCTGTGAGACATTCAGGGTCTCACATTATCTAGACAATCAGCTCACATATGGTGGAAAGGTTGTCAGCCCTACGTGCAGGCTGTGCTTTACTCCCCAGGAAAAATATTTAATTAATTCCTAGTACTCATTTCTGTTAGAGGCTGAGTCGACACCAGGGCCACAGTGCAGCTGGAAGGATTAGGTAAATTTAAAAAATCCACCTAGTGACTTCCACATCTTTGGCCTGCTAAGAAACAACTTTGGTGGCAAATGTTTCACTGATGACAAAGAGATTGAAACGGAGGTGTGGAAGCGGCTGTGACAGCAGTCAAAGAGACTTCTATGTTGCGAGTTTCAACACACTGGTAAAGCGATGGGACAAGTGTACCAGTGTTGGTGGAGGATATGGTGAGAAATAAATGTTTTTTCCAGGTTTGAATATCACATGGCTTACGTTTTATATCCATCTGTGACTTATTTATTGACTCTCCCTCATACACATATATATAAAAGTTAGAAGTAAAGGTATCCCTGTAACAGGCCGTGGAAGCCCACTGGGTTGTGAGATATTGAGGTTCTTACATTTTCTAGACAATCGGCTCATAGATGGCGGCAAGGTTGTCAGCCCTACGCGCTGGCCACCCTTTACCCCCAAGAATATTCCTGGTACACATTTCTGTTAAAGGCTTCGTTGACCCCAGGGCCATAGTGCAGCTGGAAGGATTCGGTAAATTTAAAATATCCACCTCATTGGGATTTGATCCTGCGACCTTGCAGCTTGTAGCATAGTCCCTCAACCAACTATGCTACCTCATACCCCCCATTTGCAAATCTGCACACAACTCCACCATTTAAAGAAAATTAGAGGAAGTATATAAGGAAGAACTGCCACAATAACAAATACTAAATGCTTTCCCAACTTAAACAGTAAATTCTATATCTGCTAAGGCCCTAAACTTCTTCAGCTCTGTGGTAGAGAGTAATGGGTCATTTAACCTTTATTGGACGGGCCATTTAATTTCCGGTAGAGGCAGCTGGATGGAGTTTATTTAAATGCCCGTCCTTCTAGAGCAATGAAATTGTAAGCATGTTTCTAAAAATGGTGTGATTTCTATATTTTTTATGATAAACGAACGAAATGAACGCTCCTTTAATCTAGAAAGAATATAGAATCAGATATGCTAATTTACAGATTTTAATATCTGTAAAATTTTTTACACTGATTCAAAAAAAAAAAATCCCGAAATTCATACATTTTCTCCACCATGCGTTCCAGCAGTGTAATACATTTTCTGCACCATGCGTTTTAGCAGTGTAAGTCCTTCGTGGGGACCTCACATACAATGCTATCTCTTGTTGAAGCTTATTTATCGTATGGGACATGTCGGTATGCAGGACTGTGCGCGTCTGAAATCGCTTGCTGTGTAATATCTCTTAGAAAGACACAGGAGTACATTCTCGGAATATGGTGTTGCCAGATAGGTCATTCGTTCATTCACTGCAGTCAAACCATTGTGTTTGTAACGATTTTGAAACATCGCAATATAAGGTTAGCCACCCATGACATCATCTAGCATGTTTGAAGCAGATATTGAGTTCAGCCAAGACGTGAATGAGATTTTTGTATGTGTGGGCGCGAGGTTATGATTTATGGCTTCTCGTCGTGGTCTAAGCACAGAGAGATTTTGTACTGGCAGTAAACCATTCACTACTAGAGAGCCGTATAGTTCACCATGGCCACACGACGACGTCGTATGGAAGATGCTGAAATTGAGAAACAGCTGTTCAATGACACAGATTCGGACTGCTATTCAACCGATTCTGAGAGTGGCAAGGAAAGTTGGAGTTCTGATTCCGCAGTTGAAGGGTCATCACCTTCGTCGGCAACTTGGGGACCGCCAGACCAGTGTGGCTGGAGAGGTGTGAATGATTATTCCGGTGTAGCTGCGGGGATAAATATCACTGCAGCTCCACACGTGAATAAGGATTCCACCCCTCTCTGCCTTTTCATGCTGTACTTTGCGGGGATTATCCATCTGCTGGTGGAAGAGACGAATAGGTACTATCACCAGTACCTAGACAGACTTGAAGACGGACCATCTCCGCGGCCTGACGTAACTGAATCCGAGATGTTTCTGTTTCTAGGAATAATCATTCAAATGGGACATGACATTAGAGACACACTAAAGGACTACTGGTCGACTGCTGAACAATTTGCCACGCCTTTCTACTGTAACACAATGAAAAAAACCTTACACGCGTGGAATCTGCGACATCATATGATGTCGTTTGGCCAGCTGCCCTAACTTTTAACAACATCATATGACGACGTTCGTCCGATAAAGGTTAAATGACGTCAGCTATAAAGTGTTAATAACAATTAAATAGTACAATCAATACAAGCTTAACACATATATTACCAAGAAAATCAACATCAACCAAAGACGGGACACCCCAGTATTCACTTCTAGCTGCTAACACAAACCGATGAGCAGGAATGAGCCGTCCATTTAATTTCACCTTCATATCACTGAAAAAAAAAAATATAGTAAAAATTAAATGATGATAATAAAGTCAATCAAGCAAAATGTCATTTTTTTTATTGCTAGTGGGGTGGGACTACGTCACTTGTACTGCGGCCACTTCTGGCCTACTGTACCAGCCCCAGTTGATAGGTGAGGGTGATTGTGGAGCAATTGGTGGAATGAAGATTCGTAGGGGAACCGAAGTACTCAGAGAAATCCTGCCCCAGTGCCACTTTGTCCACCACAAATCCCACGTGACCAGAACCGGGATCGAACCCGGGCCGCCGCTGTGGGAAGTCTGCGACTAACCACTTGAGCTATGGCGCAAAATGTCACATAAATATTATACAAATGTTAAGATATTTTTTAAACATAAATATAAAAATAGTAAGCTAAGACGAAAGTAAACAAGGCGTGCTCAAAAATATTCAGAACTGACTGCAAGGTGACATTACCATAATAAGCAGAGTTCCTCTGCTAGATGATGCAATGTAATGAAATATCTGTCATTAACTTCATGGTCGCAGGACATATATTTCAAAAGAGATGCATCATGAATTATGACTGTGGGTAGTGCTGACAGACTTCCGATAACAGTATACGCACATCATGTTGTGTTTCAAACTAGGCAAAATAACTACTGACACTTCTGATGTGTTAAAACTCCGACTTCTGCTGAAGATGCTGAACATTTATGACTTCCATCAGTGAGCAAAATGGATGAAAATGTGATATAAAATAGGAAACTTGTTTACAAAAACAGGTGTCTCACCATCTGTAAGATGAATAATTAGGTGGAAATGATATCTGCATCATGCCAAGACAATATGATGCAAAATTTGATCATGTGATGGATTTCTGACAGAAGAAGTAGCTAGGATTAATAGGTTTCTTTACTTTGTCCATTACCTAGTGTTAAATCATTGGACCTTCCCCACCTCTTCACCTAAGGGCTGAAGCATGTTCCAATCAGAAAACTAGTAATCCTAAGTGTAGTATACTACTGCCTGAACCTTCTGGAACTGAATAGGAACAGAATTGAGTCTTCAGAAACAAATTCAGAGAGACTCATAATTCTTTTCTAAGGTGATGAAATATGGATTTATGAACATGACCCTGAAACAAAGCAACAATGGAAAAGTCTAGCAAACAATGAGGCCAAAGGTCAGACCACTTCAATGTGAACAGGCTGCTGATTGTGTCTCACAAAGACCAACTGTGAATCAAGATTTCTACACAACGGTTCTAGAGTACCTACAGAATACTAATCATTATCTCCCATACTCCACACTTCCCATGTCTGGGCTCATATGACTTCTGTTTCTGAACCTCATGTTCAAAAACAATGGGGAGGCCTTCGGAAATGACAGGTAAAATCAAAGACAAATAAAAACCTGTACTTGCAAGAATATTCTTGGGGGTAAAGGGCAGCCGGGGCATGCACTGTCTTCACTCGCTCGGAAGCCGGGATCGTGGGTTCGAATCCCACTCAGGGCATGGATGTTTGTGTGTGTTTTTCTGTGTTTGTGTACAGGAAGAGGCCTTGTGAGGAGCTGATCACCAGCCCAAGGAGTCCTACTGTATGTCTAAGATCTAGTAAAACTGAAGTGAAACAGAGAGTTTCATGGAGGTAGGCCTAGGCCCAAATGAGGGCTGTAGCGCCAATGGGGGGGGGGGCACCGGCCTGGAGGGCGACAAACTTGCTGGCATCTATGAGCCGATTGTCTAGAAAATGCGGGAACCTCAACATCTCTTAACCCTATGGGCCTCCACGGCCTGTTACAGGGATACCTTTACTTTACTTTACTTGCGAAGTTCAAAGCAGAGAACTTCCGCAGATTATTTCAATAACAGCAAAACTGCCAGACTCCCTATATATCAGGTCACAATGAAACTACTCTGAAGGAAACAGAACTGAATACCTGCAAAATGCGAAGAAAAACATTCTCTCTGGAAGTATTCTCATCACTACTTGTAGATACAAAAGCCAACATTAAAATACACATTCCAAAACATTTACAGAACAAACTCTGCAGTTTCTGAACTACAATGAGCCTTTATGGGAGCATAAGCTTGAATGGAAGAGTAGGATGCTCCTCCTGCCAAGCTTTTAAATAACAACAACAAACACATGCTTTCTCCGAAATACATGGCATTACAAACCAAAAGACCATACAATTCAAAAACACGCACTGTATCAACAGCTGTGTTCATATACTCAAACATAAAATTTCANTTTGCCATTTTACCACAAGTGAAATAAGGAAGACAGGTTGCATCTACAAAACACCTGAATGACACATACTACCTGACCACGGGAAAGTCGATTTTCCTAGGTGGCTTGTAGATTTAAGCTCTATTTCTGGATCCCTGAGCTATGGAACATTAAGCTACTTTACCATATTCATAATATTCTGCCACTTGACACTATCCTAAGACATCAATTCCATTAACCCAAATTTTTCTTATACATTTTATTATTAAACCCTTACTTATGCCTAGCTTTCACAAGATGTATACTTCAGACCTTAATTTCCTTTCATTTCTTATTTAGGACATACATTACATGTCCTGCCAACCTCATCCTCCACAATTTAATCACCCTAACAACAAAAAGCGAAGCATACAAATTATGAAGCTTCTTACTTTCAGGTTTTCTGTTTCTTCACCCCTCTCACATCCAGACGCCTTCCACAGCACTGTGTTCTCAAACAGCCTTAATTAGGTTCTTCCTTCATAGTGAGAGGCCAAATGTATACCCATGTGAAACAACTTGTAAAATTACACTTTTACATAATTTAATCTTAAGTTTTTGGATAGGGCATTGGATGACAAAAGATTCTGAACTTAACGGTATCAAGAATTTTCCATGCTTTATGTGTTTTTAAATTAACTGTGTACAGGCAGGAATGAAAGTCCTGTCTCAAACATCCGTGAACCCACACTCTTTGGTAAGCTACTAGCCATTAACTACCTTGCAGCTTGTTCTACCTTATCGGGTGAAACTGGAAGAAAGCTAGAAAGCAATGTGGTGGCAATCCTTCTGAAGCACAAGTGGGCATTTATTTTAAATTCAGATTGCATACTAATTCTGCAGGCCTATATCTGCTATGGCATTGTGATAAAATATCTTGCAGAAAAACTGTGCTAAATGAAATGGAAAACTTCATTTTTGATCACCAATAGAGTTTCAGTGCTATTTGTAGACAAGCTTATTCTACATATTCTGCATTGTAACCACAGTATCTATGTGCATGGGAGAGAAGAAGAATCCACACAGCATTTTGGTGAAAAAGCTGGACAGAAAGAGACCACTTGGGAGACTTTGATGTAGGTGGAATGATAATATTAGAATGGACCTTAGGATAAGGTTGTATGGACTGGATTTATGTGGCTCAGGACAGCCTTCTACAAATATGGTAATGAACCTTGAGAAGTTCTTGAGTAGCTAAGCAACTGACGGTTTCCCAACAAGGTGTTGGCTCCACGGATTTATCGGCGGCGTTTATAACGTGTAAGTCCACCTTTCAAATGAACTTGTATTTCATTGTTACAGTAATCATTAACAGCATCCTAAATTGAAATAAAGTAATTACCTGTAAAGATGCTGATCAAACAATTCTGCTACAGTACGCAAAAGTTTCGCTACAAAGCTGTTTTCATTTACTTCGCCGGTAGTTGATGCAACAAGTGCATACTTTCTTTCCAATTCAATGCAGTGTGCTTGAAGTTTCACGTACTCCTCTTTCAACAGTGACAAATGCTGCTGTAGTTTGGTAACTTCACCTGTAACAGGTACTGCATAAGCAACATTTTAAGTTACGGTGCTCGTTAAAAGGCTTTCTTGTAATAATTATTAACCTTACCCTTTTCTGGAACTGCCATTCTATACACGGAATACCATTAATTCGTAATTTAATAACTTCGCGTAACAGAATTACGCAGACACAACGTTCACTTAAGCATTCCTCTCAACTTTCGAATACCTCTACTTCAATTTGTATCTGATCTGTATACTCCCACTTTCATACCCTTCATACCGTTCATACCCTTCATAACACGCATAACCAATATACAGATGTGGAACTCAAGCGAGTGTGCGGCATCAATGCTGTTCTGCCATCTCTGAATTATACCCCACAACGACAAATGGTGTGAGCGGTAGCCCACTAGATAAAAGTAAATCGCTATTCGACGTTGTCAGTTTTGTCATTCACACCCAGCCAAAAAAGAACTGGTTATTAACAAGCAACATCTTTGGAACCTGACAAAGATCACCTATTTCACAGCAATACATATATCTGAAACTCTGAATTCCTGGGGAACTTCCCCATCATTAGCATAAAATGAGTTCATATGGCCTGTCTTACTTCATTTGCATAAATTAGAGATACTATCTTGGTAATGTGAAAGTTTATGTAAGAATATGCATATGTATAAACATTTAATCATTAAATACAAAATTTCATTGTACTCGGCCATTAAAAACCATGCAATATGTAGACAAGCTCTTATCTATTTTATACTATTCACGATTGTTGAAGATATTTTCGGTTGAGATTTCTTCAGTGATCACGAAGTTCTGAAAGGAGAAAATCACATACTTTCCTTTTGTATAACACAGGCTGCACAGAAGATGAAAAAATTAGTAAGGAATGCACAGAGACACTGATGGCAAGGTGATATTATAAACCTGCTTTTATTTTTTTTTTTTCAAAATAAGGAAAGTGGGATAAAAATATTTCAGCCATTGATTCTTGTATTCATTCTCAAGTGAATAGACAAAGAAAGACAGCCAACATCTTTTCTTCAGAATTCTGGTCCTTAGTCTTCTGCGTACTGCACTGCAGCATTATCCACATCATAGATTTGTTTTCATCTTGTTTGCCTTTTACCTCTTTCTACATTTACAAAGCACAGTCTCCTTGTTCTATGTATGGTCATAGTTTTCTTTTTCTTAGCATCAGTTCTTAAATCCTGGCATAATTAAATTCTTGTAATAGAAAATGCCTCCATTTAGCCTTCAAGCAACAGCTTGGGAACTAACATGTCCTGAGTAGGATATAAATTTACAGGGTTCTGAGGAATGGAGTTGTCATCCACTGAGGTGCTGTCACTGCTATTGGTGATGTCTGGAACACTTTTCATAGATAGGAATAGGCGTTTTGATGAAGGAGGACCCAGGCATCTTGCAATTCATTCTGGTGGATGGTTGGACATATAGGTTGTCTTCTGGCGTTATATATGAAGGCAGTGAATTCAAAGGAGGGATGAGTAATGAAGGTTCAAAAGGTTGTAAGGTTAATGTGAAATGAGAGTCTGAGCCACATGGAGCTGCCACTCTCTTCAGCTGTATTCTTTGAGGTGTACTGAAATAAGTCTCTGTGAAATGTTTACTGCACAAATATTTTCTGTTCAGCATTCTGGCATGGTTAACCTTTAAACGCCGGACTTCGAAATAGTGGTAAACTTGAGCTGGCCGGAGTTTATTTAAATGCCCGCTGCTGGTGCTCGTTTAAATGCCCGTTGCTCCCTTGTGTTTAAATGTCCGTTCCTGTTAGGCGGTTAATCTCTTTTAAGCGTTGTGTTTAAAAATGCTGTATCTAGCACAATTTTTATGATAAATGGATGGTATTAACTTTGTTTATATCAGCAAAGAACATAGTGTCGCATATTATAACGGAAGATTTGAAATTTTTAATACAAAGTGTTATACTCTATTTTCAATTTTTTGTGTTTTAATTTTGATGCGTACTGCAAAAATTGTTTCCCAGTTCTTCACAGAGTTGTTCTGCATTATGAATTCCTTTCTGTTTGTAACACTTGACAAATTTTAGCAGTCCCTGGTGTCATAAAACAGATGGAAGCAATAAAATCATTTGGTCTTCTGCTAGCACTGCTTACACCCTTCGGATTTTCGAATCTTTGACTGAAGGTCAGAAGAATGAAAGAATGGCTATTCAAGAGAAAGCTAGAGGGGTCCCTTCTTCAGTGTTAAAACCTTCCGTTAGAACTGCAAAAGCTTATTGCCCCTTCTATTTGAGTGAACAGACAGCTGCATCATGGCTGAGATACAGAGCGCAATCTGTTTTGTGTGCGTTCCTAGTGAAATTGAATAAGGTAGTTTTATTTGAAACTGTATATACATCAAGCAGGTAACAACAAAAAAGGTATGTACATCAAATTTTACAATATATTTTTAACATACCTATCTGCAGAATCTGCAATAAAATTACTTGATCGTGGATAAGTTTTGGCATAACTCATACGTATATTTTTATTTGCTGTTGTTCAGTTAGGTATTATTTTAATTCCTCTATTAGGGTTTTACTCAAGTCTGTCTGGTAATTACTACATTTGAAAATATTTAGGAATGTGCATGCGCTTCTACTAGTGGCATGTGCGCGCGCTTCCACTAGCGGAGTTTAAATGCCTGACTGGACAAAACGGGGTACTTTGGCCACGACGACCTTACTCATGACTGGCACAAACTGGGCACTTCGGCACTTAAAGGTTAATGCTGCAGGACTGGCCTACTTGCTTTGCTCGTATATTTGCTTTGTAAAAGGAAACGACTATACAACAAACCATGCATAATTTCATAATTTCAGTCAGGAAATCAGGGTTCATAATATAATGACACTAGACAATTCATAATTGTGTTTATTACACATCAACAGCTCAAAAAGGGTTTTATAAATATAAACATATTATGATATGAAGTTATGAATGGTAATGATTTGTCTAACAGGACGTCATTTTTCTTACTTCAAAATATAATTTGAAGAATAGTGTAATCTCTCTACAGGTGCTTTTAAAGGAAGAATCCACTTTTCTCCTCATACTAGATTTGCTCACATTATGGTAATTCATGTGGCATATATGCAGTATGCCATATGAATGACCACAATGTGAGGATTTGTAGGAAACCTTAGGAATTTTAGCTACTTTCTTCTGTAGGTGGATATGTACACATGTGCCAAACACTTAAAGTGATTTTGCACTGCATGATGTAAAGAAACACAAAACAACTATATATTTGTATCCAGAATTACCAAATCTTTGCTCACTTCATCAGTCAAACAAAATTCTACTCACTATACTTTTCAACAAAAGATTTTTTTTCGTATGTTCTATCTGATGGTGCTGTCTGAATAAAAACTATGTAGCACAACATGATATAATGACTTATGAATGATGAAATGCAGATGACCTTGTGTTAATGGCTAAGGAAGAAACTGTGCTACAGGGCATGATTGATAGACTAATTGAAATTGGAAGGTGCTATGGCATGGAAATGAATGTGGAGAAAAGAAAAGCAATGAAAATTTTGAGACAACCAACCCCAGTCACAATAACAACTGGAGAATGTGAAATGTTTTAAATATTTGGGTAGCTTGTTAACAGATGATGGAAGGTGTACTAGTGAAATTAACCTTTAAACGCCGGACTTCTGAAATGGTGGTAAGCTTGAGCTGGCCGGAGTTTTTTTAAATGCCCGCTGCTGGTGCGCGTTTAAATGCCCGTTGGTACTCTGCGTTTAACTGTCCGTTTCTGTTAGTGCGCCTAAACAATTTTAAGCATTGTGTTTAAAAATGCTGTATCTAGCTCAATTTTTGTGATAAATGAATGGAATTAATTTTGTTTATATCAGCAAAGAACATACTGTCGCATATTATAAAGGAAGATTTGAAATTTGTTATACAAATTATACTCCATTTTCAATTTTTTGCCTTTTAATTTTGATGCGTACTGCAAAAATGATTTCTCAGTTCTTCACAGAGTTGTTCTGCATTACAAATTCATTTCTGTTTGTAACACTTGACAAATTTTAGCAGTCCCTGATGTCATAAAACAGATGGAAGCAATAAAATCATTTGGTCTTCTGCTAGCACTGCTTACACTCTTCGGATTTCCGAATCTTTTGACTGAAGGTCAGAAGAATGAAAGAATGGCTATTCAAGAGAAAGCTAGAGGGGTCCCTTCTTCAGTGCTAAGACCTTCCGTTATAGCTGCAAAAGCTTATTGCCTTTTCTATGGGCCTGAACAGACAGCTGCATCGCGGCTGAGATTCAGAGTGCGGTCTGTTTTCTGTGTGTGCTTAGTGAAATCGAATACTGTAGTTTTATTTCAGCCTATATATACATCAAGCAGATAACAACAAAAAAGGTATGTACATCGAATTTTACTGTATATTTTTAACACATTAATCTGCAGAATCTGCAATAAAAGTACTGGCTCGTGGATGAGTTTGGGCATAACTCATACGTATACTCTTTTTGTTGTTGTTCACTTAGGTATCATTTTAATTTTTCTATTAGGGCTTTACTCAAGTCTGTCTGGTAATTACTACATTTAAAAATAAATA